GGTGGGGGTGCCATAGTGGCCGAACCGGATGAAAACAATCTCTGCCAAATGTCCAAGTCAAACAACAAACAAACCCAAAAAAATAAAAAAGATGCAAGCGACAAGGTGAAGGGCGATTCCAGGAGACGCGGCAACGCTCCCGCGCTCGAATGGAAGAACCCGTTAGCGCTAGAGGAAGCGGAAAGAATCGCCGCTGACCTCACAAAGGCGCGAGTGGTGGAAAGGGCAGCCGCCGGAACCAGTGAGAAGGGGAGTGCGGAGGTCCCATCAACATCGAAGGGACGAACCAGGGCAGGCCCAGCGTCGTATAAGCGCAGCCTGGAGAAGAGGCCCCCAACACCGGAGGTCGAAGTTGTAGTCGATTCCGACACGGAGGTGGAGGACACGCACGCGAAAACGGCCGAGAGGATTACATTCCCGGAGCTCGAAGAATCCGATGCGGAAAGATGCCCGACGCCAATGAGGATGAAAGCGAAGAGGAGCCGAGAGATCGCCGAGGTCGCCCCCCGACCGTCGGCAAATACCTCCTGATGAGGCAAAGGTTAGCCGCCTCGAGGGAGGTAAAGCTCCTAAAGGAGAAGGCCAGGACGCTAAAACAAATCTTGGACAAGCGGGTGCTCCCTAACCTAAGGGATAGGAGAAACATCACGCCCGAGCGAGAGGTAATCCGTCAGATGGAGTCGATGACCCCGGCCCAAATATCGGCGGAGATGACGGAGAACACACACGCGGTTATAAAAGTGGCGGAGAAGTCAAAAAAACCTACAGGGTCCCATGGTACACCAGCTATACAAAGCTACTACCAAGATCGGGGCTGGCACGAAAGTACTGGCGGGTAAGGCAATAGATGCCGAGGAAGGGGGAAACCCCGTGGTAGTGGAAAGCCTGAGGGACAGGATCAAAGAGCTGGAGAACCAGGTGCTCCAGCTGAAGTCCCTGCTCGCGCAAAAGACGCAATCAGAGGGGGTTGCGTCCACGAGGAAGCGGAAGATCCAGAGGGTGGCGGATACATCCTCTGACGACGAGGGGGTGCGCACCGCACGGCCGAGCCCACCGCAACCTGAGGTGGAGCGGATGGACGTGCAGACGGAAGCGAGAGCGGTAGAGGAGCGCGTGCCGCACACCGTGGCGCTAAGACCGGCGCTGCGGGGAAAGGAGAAGGAGCTCGAAGGGGCCTCAGAAAGTAAGGCCCTTGAGAAAGCCAGGAAGGTCCTGAAAGGGATCTCCGTAGAGGAGATGCTGACGGGAGATGCAAAAACCGTCAAGCAGAATATCGCGAACCTAGTGACGAGGTGCGAGGGCGCCATAGCGATATTCCCTCCAGCTGGAGGAAAAACAGTTGTCGCCAATCAACCTAAAGTAGCCCCGAGTAGCCAACAGGCAAAAGGGGTTATGAGAAAGGGAGAGACGAAGGGCCAGGGGAGTAAGAACGCCCAGCCTAAAACAACGAAAGCGCCGGCAAAGGCTAAAGCGGCGGGGAACGTCCAGAAGCCGCAGACCAAAACCGGCGGAGAGGTCCGACCGACTAAGTCGGCGGACAGATCTAGAGAGGAGGCCCGGGTCAGTACGAGGCAGAGATCGAGGTCCAGATCAAAGTCTCAAGGCACCTGGGTCGAAGTGGCCAAACGAGGCCTCCGCAAGAAGAGTGACGCAGGACCAAAGGGGACGGCGCCCAAGGACAATCCGACTGCCCCAGAGAAGAAGGCGCCAAAGAAGACTGGCGGCCAAAGGAACCCCAGGACGCAAGCGGTCACGCTGACGTGCCCCCCGGAGACCTACGCGGAAGGGATGCGACTCGTCAAGTCCCAAATAAATCTCGAGGAACTGGGGATAGACACTCTCAGACCCAGGAGAGCCCAAACAGGGGCGATTATTCTCGAGATATCGGGCGAGAATGCCAAAGAAAAAGCGGATTCTCTGGCCGATAAGATGAGAGCGGTCATTGGAGATCGAGAAGGCGTCAAGGTCACGCGTCCTGCCAAAATGGCAGAGTTACGAATTCGCGATCTGGACGACTCCGTCACGGTGACGGACGTGAAGGAGGCAGTGGCAGAGGCGGGAGGATGCGCCCCCACGGAAGTCAAGACTGGAGAGGTCAAACCTGCCCCGAATGGCCTCGGGACCATCTGGGCCCAATGCCCGTTGGCGGCTGCAAAGAAGGCAGCTGCCGCGGGTAGGGTAAAGATTGGTTGGGTGAGAGCAAGGCTGGAGCTACTGGAGAACAGGCCCCTGATCTGTTTCAGGTGCCTGGAGAGGGGCCACGTCAGGGCCCAGTGCCGTGGAAAGGACAGAAGTGAAATCTGTTGTAGATGTGGGGAAGCCGGGCACAAGGCCTCAACGTGCCGTGCCGAGCCCAAATGCCCGGTATGCTCGGAGAAAGGGCTCCCGGCAAACCATAAAGCCGGGAACAAGGCTTGCCCACTGCCTTCGAAGAAGGCCGCGAAACAGAGGAGGCGCATGGAGGATCGGCAGCAGGCGATACCGCAGACCCCGCGGAGCCAGGCTGGCGGGAAACATACGCACCAAGAAGCCATGGAGGTAGACGCCCCCCTGGCGGAGATGAACACCCCGGCCACGCTCGAGCGAAGGCAACCCAGGGCTGGGACCAGTATACCAAGAGAGGGAGAGGGCCAGGAGGGGGCCAGCACGGCTTCGCCTTCACCCCAATGAGAATCGTCCAGGCGAACATCAACCACGCCCGTCGGGCCCAGGACTTGATCCTGCAGGCCATGGCGGAGCGTGGTGCGGGCCTGGCGATAATCGCAGAGCCCTGGAAAATCCCGGATCGTCACCCATGCTGGGCGACGAATGCGGAACGATCGGCAGCTATCCACTGGCGACGCACGAAGGAACAACAGGTGCCCTGTTGCAAGAAAGGAGAGGGGCCAGGCTGGGTTATGGTGGAATGGGGCCCCCTATTGGTAATAGGGGTTTACCTTAGACCCAGCCTGTCCCGCGCCGAACTGGAGGAGCGGCTCGACGACCTAGAGGCGCAGGTCAATGCGTCTCTGCCGAGGCCAATACTGGTCGCCGGGGACTTCAACGCCAAATCGGCGTTGTGGGGTTCCCGGCGGCCGGATTGCAAAGGTGCGGAGGTGGAGGCGTGGGCGGACCGCCTGGGCCTCCGGCTCCTAAACTCGGGCACAACGAGTACGTGCGTGAGGCCGCAGGGGGAGTCGGTGATAGACATCACCTGGATTTCCCCTGCGGCGGAGAGGATCATTACGGCATGGAGAGTGGCCGAGGAGGTGGATATCCTCTCGGATCACCTCATGTTGGAAATGGAGGTCCAACTAACTCCAACACGAAGGGACGAGCGGGGCGACTCAGGAGGCCGCTCAGATGGGCGACCAAGAAGATCGACCCTGACAAGCTGCAGGCGTCCCTGGCAGCGGAGCTGTGGATCCCGAGGAAGCAGCTGATGCATGAGGGGGACATAGAGGAGGAGACCAGGTGGCTCAGGCAGGCCCTGACACGTGCCTGCGACCAGGCTATGCCGAGAGCAGCCTACTCTGCCCGTAGAGCCACATATTGGTGGACACAGGAAATCGGGGACCTCCGTGCGGAAGTCACCCGCGCGAGAAGAAGGG